CTGTGAGTCCCGAGGCTGCTGGGGCGTCACAGCTGCCACGGAGGCAGGAAGAGGACCGTGGCCCGTTTGGAAGGGTGTGCAGTTGGCACTCAGGGAGAGACCGGAAGGACTTGTCCCTGAGGGAGTCCACAGCTCTGATTGGCTTTCAGAGGGAAATGGTGGCGTCTGTGTTTAAAATACCCCTGTGCTGGCAGCAGGGGGGTGGCTCGGTGGAGGGGAGACACGGAGGCTGGAAAGATCCAGGCTCGAGCTAAGGAGCTGGCACAGGCAGCAGCGCGGCCCTGGGAGTGGAGACAGGGATGCACTTCAGAGATGAGGGCCAGGCCCGGGGGATGGAGGAGGGGCCAGGGGTCTTGCGCAGGATCCGGCCCATCCGCACACGCTCAGGAGAAGGAAGACACATCTGCCGGGGGCACAGTGACCTTGGGGAGCTTGGGAGGCAGGCAGGAGGCATGTTGGGGAGGATGGGCCGGCCTGGAGCCCTGGCTGTCTGTGAACAGAATAGTTGTCACAACAGACCATGTGGCTCTGGACCGAGAGGCGACTGCATTTGGGAAAGGGGTCTGTCCCCTTGAGGGGCCACCTCCTCTCCGGCTCCGATGGGGGTGGAACAGTTTCCGGGCAGCACAGGAGTCCGGATGGGCGCTGCTGGTGACTGCGGGGCCCTGTCCCGCGCCCCTGCCCCGTGTCACGTCTGGAGCTGCCTCTGCTCACAGGGCGCCTGGCGCAGAGCGTTCCTCGCGGACATTGGCACCGACCACGTCCTCAGGGTTCCCTGTGCTTTTCCGCAGGATCTTCTACGTCTCTCACGACTCCCAGGACTTGAAGATCTTCAGCTACATCGCCCGAGACGGTGCCAGCAACGTGTTCAGGTGCAACGTGTTTAAGTCCAAGAAGAAGGTAAAAGGACAGGCCTGCCCCTGTGGTCTCCTGCTGGACCCAGTGCCCGGCGCTGACCCTCTCCCTGGTGCCGGGTCTTGAGGCACCGCTGCCGCGGGGATGCCTAGGAGGTGCCACTCCCCTGGTGACGTGCCCTTTAGTCTCGTCTGCACTCTGTACCTCGTGACGGACGGACACAGGTTCCCGTCGGGTCAGCCTCGGGAGGGACGGGGATGAGCAGGGGTGGCCGCTCTTCGGCCCTTCCTCTCCACGCTGTCCACCGGTGAGGCTGCGAGGCGACACGTGGCGTGTGGTTTAGGCGTGGGGGTGACCGGGTGCTCCTAGGTGGCTGCCTTTGCACAGTAACCCTGATCTGGAGGAAGTGAACCTGGGCAGCTATGGGGCTTGCTTCCTCTTCCCCCTCCAGGCCCACACACCCATCTCGCCGCACCCTCTGCAGCCTGCACGGTGCTCTGTGGGTCACTGTCCCCACGGCTCAGCGTCCCCGGCTATAAAGCCGGAAGGAAGGAGGTTACCTAGACATACCGTAAGGCACTGGCACTGAGTGCCCGTCTCAACCTGCCAGCAGCTCCAGAGTTGGCGAAACCCATGTGACTTGGTTTGACCCAGCGTTTCTCAAACCGATGTGGCCGTGGAATTGTGCCCCCCGTGGGACGAGTCAGCGCGGGCCGTTCTGCAGGAGGGGTGTTGGGAGGACTGTGTGCCTGGAAGGTCCGTGCACCGAGCCTGGCCGCATCCACCTCAGGCCCTCTGTGCCCTCCTTCGATGCGGTGACGTCTTGTGCGTCAGGCATCTGAGTAGGTCTGCAGGCACTTGGTCAGGTTGGGGTGGTAGGAGTCACAGGTGACAGGCAGGGGTCTGGGCCCTGGGCCCGTCCCACCCGCTCCACAGAGACTACACTTTGCTGAGGCAGCTGAGCTCCTGTCCCAGGCGTCCTGCTCGATTGTGGGCCTGGACGGGAGATGGAGGCAGGCAGTGGAGACCGCATGGCCGGGGCCCCGAGAGGAAGTGGGGGCTATGTCAGCTGCGTGTCGCAGGCCATGGTGGGGGCGGGGGGAGGAGCAGTGCCGCGCAGCAGGTCGGTGCTCTCCGACAGCTGCCGCAGAGAGGGAGTGCCCTCTGAGCTACTCGGGGCTCGGCCCCATGTCTGACGTGGTTTTGTTCAGAGACTGGGCCTCGGGGCCTTGGAGTTTATCAGAGTGACAAGTGGCAGGTTATAACTTACAACGTGTTTTACTATCTGATCGTACTTGATCCTTGTAACGCCTACTGATGATCGATGTTTCTAACTCTCCCTCTCCCTTCCTCTCTGTAAAAAATCAATAAAATATATTAAAAAAAAAAAAAAGAAGACACAGATTTTCACCCGCAGTTTGCAGTGAGTAAATCGAGGCTCCGGGAGACTAAAGGACCTGCCCCGCGTCTCATGAAGAAGCACAGGTTCGGGTCAGGGAGCCGCGTAGAAACCGACTGAGCTGGAGCCTGGGAAAAGGGACCTTTTGCTATTGGCTTTGCCTGCCATCTCCTTATGACGTGGGCAGTGGGGTCGATCCTGCTTCTGCCAAATGGATTAACCCAAGGAGATTCCTGCCACCCAGTGACAAAAAGTGGTCATCGGTTCCCGGTCACTCCCAGCTCTCAGCTAATTCTGACCTTTGGCCAGTCTCCTGTCCCTGTGCCCTCACCTGCGAGGCCTGGCGGCCAGGAGCAGCTTCTAGGCCCTGGGCTGCCATCAGACGTCTTGGGCTGGGAGCCCCTCGCTGAGCTATAGCTGGAGGGGCAGTGTCCACGCCCAGAAAGAGAAGGGACTTGTTCAGCAAAGGAAGCAGGGCGGGGAGGCAGGGCGTCTGCCGGGCGTGCTTACCTTTGGGTCGGGGAGATAGCAGGTTGGGATGGAGTTGTAAATGGAAGGTCACAGGAGTGCTTGGGGCGGGTGTCGCAGGCACGCCTCTAGGTTGTGGGAGGTCGGCTGGGAAAGCTCTCGCCTGGAGCCTCACGCTGTCCGTGGCGTGAGACAGCCTCGCTGACCATGGCGTGGGAGAGCCTCGCTGACCGTGGCGTGGGAGGGCCTCGCTGACCGTGATGTGGGAGAGCCTCGCATGAGCTCCTCACTGCTGGGTGTTGCTGTCCCCATCACGTCCATGCCCCATTCGGGCACCCATGGCAACTTCTCGTGCAGGGTTGCCCTCACCTCATAGCTCCCCGTGGGCACAGGTTGTCTCTTGCTGGTTGAGAATGTGGGTCAGGTGTCGACCTTCCTGGCAGAGGGTCACCCTGTGCCTGGAGGTCAGATCCACTATAAAACTGACCCCCTTAGTGAGCAACATTCTGGTGTCACCTCAATCAAATTATATGATCAAGGCCTTTCAAGAACCTGCCAGGCAGACGGGGCCCACCTCCCAGCCTGGAGCCAAGGACCCTGGCTGCTCCTCTGTGTCGAAGCCACGCACCCTTTCTTGCTTCAGGATCGCAAGTTTGCAATCATGATAGACATAGGCCTCCATCTTTACTAAAGCTGACCGTGCATCCTGCCTGTTGATCCCGTGGGAGTTGGGGCCGAGGTGGGGGCGGAGCTTATCACTGTGATGGGATGGTCCACAGCTGCTCCCAGGCTCCATGCCTGGAACTCGGGCACCTGCGGAGAGTCCTCAGCCACGGGTGTAGACCCAGTGAGCCTGGAGGGCAAATAGACACTCACTTGTGAGACCTGCCCACTGTTTCCTCGCTCCTCCCACCCTCATCCTCATCTTCCCAGGCACCTGCATTTTCGGCTGCCAATTACTCTGACCCCCAGGAGTGTGCAGCAGAGAGCTGTTCCAGACAGTGACACCGGGGCCATCAGAGTCCACGTGAAGTCAGCTGCGGAATAAGACTGATGACTACCATCCTTCCCGTGTACACAGGGCTCAGATCCCCAGAGTTTGCAGGACCAGCTAACAACACGGTCACTTAAGATGAGAACAGAAAACAGATTCACGAAAACTGGAATTACAACTAAAATACAGTAAACTTCCTAAATAATCAACAGAAAACTCACAGGAAAGAACCATGATACCCAAGGACTGAAAGTGGAGACTGCATAGAGACTGGTAGGGCGGGTGGAGGCCTGAAAGGGCTGGCCAGGTGCCCACAGACAGCAAATGAAGTCCTGGAGAGATATCACAGCTGTGGGGGTTGCCACTGAGAACTCTGGGATCTAATCCCCAAGCTGGGCCTCCTAGCAGAGAGCATCACAACTGAGGAGGGTACCCACATAACATCTGGCTGTGAAAAGCAGCAGGGTGCTGTCTGCCAGAGAGTAACAGCTGAAAATTCAGGCACCCTCTTAAAGGACCAACACACAAAATTCCTGTGGAACCACCCACCTTGTGCTCTGGCAGAGGGAGGGTAAAGTGGACTGGAACTGTGAGAGCAGAAGCCAGGATTGGGGACTCCAGGGTTAGAGCTCAGAAGGCAGACACCCCAAGTTTCCTGGGCAGAGTCATTACCTCATGCAGCAGAGGACATCTTTCCGACTTAGACATTTGCCTTGCCTCGGGGGAAGACACACCCTATTGGAAAACACCTTGCCCTGCGGCCACTTAAGAGACTAAAAATAACAATTAGCCTCCAGGCAAAAGGAGTTGCCCCACCCTGTTGAAAGAAATTCTCATCACACCTGAGGACGATTGCCTGGGGGGCAATTCAACTCAGAATCCTATCAGTCTGTAGGCAGAGGCCATCTCTGGAGGCTTTGAGTCTTTGCCTGATCTAATTAGTCAGAAACAGCCTGTAACACTGTCCTGCACTACAGATTGAGAGGCGTAAAGGATCTACCTAATACAAGCATGTCAAACTAGCGGCCCGCAGGCTGCATGCGGCCCACAATGAATGTTTTTGCAGCCCAGCCAATATACGGTATGTAAGAAACGTTTCAAAAAAAATTTAATAACTTAATTTTTACAATGCCCTGTTATACATAATCCTATGTAATAAAAGCCTAGGTGGTCCTCAGGCCCTCACGTGTGACATCGTCACAAGATGGCCACCACAAGATGGCCACACGCACAGCAGAGTCAGGGCTTGGCGGCCGCTCCACACGGTGAGGCCTGGGTGGTCCCGGCATCTTTGCTGCATTGCGAGAAGGAGGCAGGTCCTGGCGGAGGAGGCGGGTCACGGCAGGGGAGGACAGTTGTGGGCAATCAGGCCTGCAGGGGAGGGCAGTTGGGGGAAATCAGGCTGGCAGGAGAGGACAGTTGGGGGCAATCAGGCCAGCAGGGGAGGGAAGTTGGGGGAAATCAGGCTGGCAGGGGAGCAGTTAGGCGTCAATCAGGCCGGCTTGGGAGTGGTTAAGGCAATCAGGCTGGCAGGCAGAAGAGGTTAGGGGCAATTGGGCAGTCAGGTAGGCGAGTGGTTAGGAGCCAGCGGTGCCAGATTGTGAGAGGGATGTCTGAAGGGTCCTAGATTGGAGAGGATGCAGGCCCAGCTAAGGGACATGCCCCTCCCTCATGCACGAATTTCATGCACCAGGCCTCTAGTCTATATATATAAAAGACTAATATGCTAAGTGTCCGTCTAGGTAATGACATCATGTAGCAATGCCCGCTTCCTCTCTCTCACGACTAGCCTCCTTGCAGTTTCTTTAGCCCAGGAACACGACTTGCTTTATAGCCAGGTGCAAATATTTTACACTTTAACCAAAAGTCTGTGAAGCATTTTTCATGCCTCATCTCATTTGATCCTCACAGAAGTCCTGGAGTAGGTAGATAGGAGCCTCGGTGGAATCCTATTTTCCTTTCATTAGCCAGAAAACAGAGATTTAGAAAGTTTAGAAACTTGACCCAACTGAAAAGAAGTACGACTGAAAAGAAGTAAGAAATGGTGGACCTTGAAAATGACTTCAGGTTTTCTCACTGCGCAGAATATAGTCAAACACTGCTGCAATTAAATATTTTACCCTTTGTTATCCCTGCATGATCTACAATAATAATCTGCTTCATGCTGATATTTACTGCTGTGTT